GCAAATCGTCTCATCAGAGTCTAATCTTATCTAGCTTAATCGATTACCATTATCTGACTTATAGTACATACATATACTCGGAAACAACTGATGGCGTAAGATGTTTGATAACGTTTTGTCACACTCACTTTATGTAGAAATAATCCGTTGTTTATTCACACGTTGTCTCTGCTTTTACCAAAACAAAATTCTAGTGCTTGTTAGTTACACATGGGAAGAATAATTTTATTAAAGTTTCTAAAAATAATTTTGGAAAATCATCAAAATAATTTCGTAGAAAATTTAAGCATGAATAAGTGCAAAAAGTGTTAACATTCTAACAACCAATTTGAACGTCCTCTGCAATTATTTTAATGTAAAAGTATTTTCCAGTAAAAATATTTTCAGATGTATATCTAGCTAAATTTTTCGGATATTTTAACAAACTCGTCCTCCTCATGTATTAAAGATTTTGAAGGATAGGAAATCAAAATGAACAAATTTTTAGCATTTTACAAAATTTTTTTAAAAAAACGTCAACTTTGTTAAAAAGCGTGCAACCGAATGATGAAAGAAGATCAAAGCAGAAGCGGATCGAAAATCCGGAAAATGTTCGCCGTAGGTCCTGCATTTCTCTCGTACTATTCGCACAGTCGTGTTCCGCACGAGCCAGACATTGCATGAATACTTTCCCGCTGACTCGTTAGATTTAATTTACCGCTAAACGAATAACCCGCGTTGCGTTTTCCTTCGCGGCTTTGGCACTTCCACGTTCACGTTTTCCGCCCATGTGGTAGCGTCCTCCATTTGGGGAAAGCAGCGTAGAGCATTTCGTTCCGACGAAACGGATACGGAAGCACGGTCGTGAATCGCTGCATTACGAGCCCGGCGCACTTCGCAGCGCGCGCATTCACTGGCGAACCGCAAGAATCGCGGTCGGGTTTGAAAGTACGATGGAAATTAATTTGCCGAGCTTAACGAACCCAAGGCCCACAAAGCAGCGCGGTGGGTACTGCCGGTACGTCGTGTTAATTACATTGAGACCAGGCAAAAGCAGGCAAACGGCGAAGACGGATGCTCATTTTTATATAAGCGAAAAAATATCGCGATGTGCATCCGCAATCTGATAGTCAAATTCGCTTTCAGAAACCATGAAAATATCAGTAGTTAGCTATTTGGTAAACAATCAAATAATTAAAAATAGCAAAATATTCACAAAATGTGGCCATGATCTTTCTTCATTTAATTTTCAAATTTATTTCTTAATCTTTTTAAAAAACCAATAATTTTTTAAAATCTTTATCTCTAAAAAGAATGCAAGAATACTTAGCCATAATTGTAATCAACGTAAACATCAATTAATACACTTTTAATAACATTTCTCGTATTGTTTATAGAGTGTGATAATTGTTCATATCTCAAAGAGAGGCGAATTAGAATAGTATATTTTATTTACATCAGCTTACATTGCTAAAGTAGGGGAATTTAATTTACAAAAATAAACTTAACACACATGCATCTCCATCTTCGAAAAGGGGATAATTTTTATAACAAGATTAATCTAAACTATTCCTATTCGCAAGTTGTAAAATAATAAATTGCCGATCTTCTGGACACGTGTCTCGAGAGTCGCGGACCGCAGAGGATTACAAGACAGTCACGCTGTTGGAGGTCGGTTGGGAAATTAGTTTCCCAGCTTAATGGAGTTCCGTGAGCGCGAAAGATGGGCACCTCGGAGGCGACGACTGCCGACAAAAGTTTTCGCAACTTTCGCAATTTTTTCAATTAGCCGCGATTTTTCAACGGCGCGACGGAGCGCGCGGCGTGGGTGAGAAATGAAAGCAGGTCCCCGTGTTTGTTGGACTCCACTCTACTTTGTGATTCCGCCCTAACGACGTTACCGCGTATATTGGGAAAGTCAAGCGACGTTATGAAAGTCTTAGTAACCCGCGCGCCAAGTTCTTTATTCCGAGAGCCTGCGAGTGACCCGACGTTCATTTTTCCCCTTGACAATAACCTTTCCATCATTAATGGGCTGTATTGTGCGCGCTGTATCGTGTTGAGCGACCAAAACCGCGGCAAATGCGTCTCGGTATCTCGGTGACGGCTACTTCCGCCCGACTTCCGGTTTAAATCGATGATTTACGAGCCCTAAAAAGAACCAAACAAGCTAAAAATTGTGCAGGCACTTCTGAAACTATGCTCGCTTAAGTCTACTATAACCCGTTTCTACGGACACATCTGATCTTTTCCCCAATTTAATTTTTTTTCCTCTAAATTTTCTCTACTTTTTAATTTGAATTTCGGCAGTGATATATCTATATGTATGCATATATTTCGTTTTGCACAAAAAATATTACGTGATATTCATAATTGATATTTTAAGATTTCCGAAGGGATTTTAGTAGTTTCGACATGACAACGAGAGCAAATGGATCGCATGAGAGAACCAATAATTTATTTGTCGAAGCCATTAAGTTGGTCGTGCCAAATCAACTGGAAAGGGGAAATATTTTATAAACTCTTCCGCGCGAGGCGGGTTCAGGTGGCGAGAAAAAAATCTCGTTCACTCTAAGGCAAGCTTATTAAAGACTAAACGGCAAATGAAATCGGAAAATTCTACTATAAAGGATAATCTAAAATTGACATTATTATCTCCTTTCGTGAGCGTTTAAATACCCTCGACGTTTCAATATATTTTGAACGGGAGACAAAAGAAGGATTTCGTTGGTTAGGAAACAAAGCTGATGTTTCTCTTTTAGTGCGACAGATTCGGCGATTAATTTTCGAGCGGCAGCCAATAATTCATCCGTGCTTCGTTTTATTGCGAAACGCGGAACGAAACACGATGCGATCGATAATAATATAGCGATACGAGACTAATAAAGTTCTAACGACAAGTATTATGTCTAGGTAGAATAACGAGCGAAGGGAGCTTGCGATTACATCTCATTCGATATGGAATGATTTAGTAATTTAGTCTAAACGAGGATAATTTAGTTTATGAAACTCGGTAAAGTGATAAGAAGTTATCTCGAGTTAATTGGAAATGGAGATCAGTCATGATAATGAAAATTACGTTATTCTAAAAGCGCAAATAATTGTATGGACCCTAACGTCACCCTAATTTTGATCATGAAGATAACAGTTCTGATTATATGGCTGCAGTAATATGGCCACAACAAACAAACGAAGCTACAGTAGTTGATCAAAAGTAAACTGAAATATGTGAAAAATATAGATATGGATTTAACATTGTGGGTGTTAAATATAATTTTCATGCTGCAGATGACAGAAGAGTGCTCGTTTAAATACGTTCAGTATGACAGTATCTTAGATCTTGTAATGGTGATGGGACTGACAATGAGAGAGAGGAGAAGAGAGAGATAGATAAATAGATAGACAGATAGATAGAAAGCAGGATATGTTTCAAGCTATGTCACTCTTCCTAAACTGAGAGTGACCACTTCATAGGCATATGGTCTATTCTTATTATGTCTACAGTTAAATCCACACCCATAGTGTCAGATCTATATATTGGTGTTTATATCAACGCCAATACGATGAAATTTATATAAATTGGTATGACATTAAATCCAAACTCATATTTTTTAGATTGTAAAAAAGATATAAGGAAAATAGTTTATAGAACTGTAGTTTGAAAATGTACATATTTATAAAAATCTACATACACTCTAAAAAATATCGGTGTAAATTTAATATCATGCGATACTATATAATATAATTTTCATGTGATATAAGGAAAATAGTTTATAGAACTGTAGTTTGAAAATGTACATATTTATAAAAATCTACATACACTCTAAAAAATATCGGTGTAAATTTAATATCATGCGATACTATATAATATAATTTTCATGTTGTTCATATTAACACCGACACACACACACACACACACACACACACATATATATATATATATATATATATAGAGAGAGAGAGAGAGAGAGAGAATAAAAATTATTATATAGACATTGCATGCTATTGAATACATTTCGCGCATTAAGATTTATCGATCAAATTTAATGCTTCTCTATTTATTATGTTATTATGTAAGGGAAATATGTTAAACATGCGATTCGTATAATTTCAAACGGAACCGGAATAGAACTTTATTGCGTATAGACACAAGGGACATTATTAAGAAAAAGTTTGCAATTGCGTGATCGCATTCGTGCAATCGTCACAATTCATTCAATCGGATCGGTCGAGGACCGTGTGAAACGCCCCTCGTCAGTGCTTTTTCATTGCTCTAACGAGGTCTTGTTCATCCACGCTTTTCACCGTATTCTTAAAAGCCTAGCGAGTCTTAACATCGTTCCTGCTGGTCGATCCCCTTTCGTCGCCGGTGCTATCGTCCGGTTCTCTCCCTTACACAAACTTGATACCCGTCTGCATATCGGAAAAGCCGTCGATCCGTCGGCTGAATAAAGTTTCCTTTTTTATTCGATGTATCGAAAAAGCGAGTCAACATTTCTCTTTTACAAAAGATCGCGGCCCGCAATACCGAAGCGACAGAGAATAAGTTACTCTTAACAGGGTGAAACGTCGAGTGAATTCGCTATTACTGTTGTATTAATGCAGCTTGTAGCTACCGATCGATTAATTAACATGGCTAGCGCGATGTCTAATCATTGTTTAGACGGAGTACTTCGTCGTGCAAACATATGATATAGTGGATAATGGCGGGAGTAAATAGGGGCACTATTTGTGTCACAGCTAGCATGACTAACTGCGTGCGATGCGTTTGATTCAAGCTAACTGTTCAACTCCGAATCACGAGGATTTCCGCTCTTTAACCAATATTCGTATAATTAAAACTAATAGAATACGATAAATGGCAAAAATAAAAAGGGCGAAAAACTAAATGAATTAAGAATCAATTGACTGTAAATTCGGTTTTTATCCGACTTATAATTAAAGGTTTAGGTCACTGCGAGATAATTTCACGATTTTTGTTTTTTTCTTGTGATTGCAGAGTCGTTAATTAAGAATGCACAATGACGCAGCGAATTTATCCGTTTTCCACGAACCCCCGCGAGGGATCACCGGATATCCAAATGGAGACGCTCAAAGAAAATCACCCCCCCCGTCAGGAAAGAATCCTATCGAGATGTAAGTATTTTATAGTCAATGCGTAAGCTCGTTCGTTTAAAAGTCACCTTTTTATTTATTACATTTTATTAGATTATTTGATGTGAAATTAAGTTGTGAATGATTGACTATTGAATTCGTGAAAATAAAGTTTCATGAATCATTTAGTAAAATGTAATAGAACGTTATTTAATTTTTCATATCGCATAACGACATAATATGCAATTTTTATTGATCAAATTTGAATGATTTAACTTAAATGGCTTAATGCACAATTAGTCCTTGATACTATGCATTTCGTTTGCTTCATGTTTGCAGAAGTTTGCATGAAAGAATCTATTTTCGAATTGAACAATTATGATTATCAATTAATATCAATGTGGAATGATTATTTATCATCGCGTTTTCTTATTCAATTATAAATGACAAAATCTTTTATTATTACAATAATATTTTAGACAGGTAACATGAATAAAAAACAGTCAGTATTCGTCAAAGAAGAAACAAAAAATCAATAAGTGCTAACGTAAATGTCGGAGCGCATTATAGAAACATTTATTGTTGAAATACATATTATAATACATATGTGTCACAATCGCAATCGTGAACGTATCGATGATTTTAGTCCTCTTTAATGCATAAAAAAATACAGAAAATATTAAATTAAAAATATATTTTAAAATATTTAAATAAAATATAAATTATATATATAGAGAACAATTTTACTGAAGTATTTAAAACTTTATCTACATAAATAAAATCTAAAATAATTTTGTTCGATAAAACTTTTGTAGGAAACTTAAGCGTAATGAGCTATGCTGTCAAATGTTAATTACGACATTCTAGTAACCAGTTTAAATGTTTTATATAATTATTTTACTATTCCAACAAAATTATTTTTTATATGTAATTAAATTTTTAATACTTTTGTTAAATCCAACGCGTTGATTTGTATCTTGCATTTTTGTATTTCATACTCCGTTCCACCAGGACGGGAGACTATATGTCTTGTCATAGGCTATGTTCGTTTTTCATACTTATGCGCTGTAAGCTTTATTCTATCTTTGTCTTGCAAGTACCGAGTAATAATGATAGGATGAAACTTACAACGCGTGAACTCGAAAAACAAACGCTACCATAGTCTATGAACTAACACAACGCGTCACCTGTATAAATTAATTTAGTAAACTACAACCAGCATCGTGAAGAGATCTTGATATTCTGATTTACTTTAATCAACTTTTTGTGCATTCTCAAAGTAGTGAGTGGTTCAATTAATTTTTTGCGTTTATTGGAAAAGATTATGAATCCAAACTACTACTGAAGGTTCATTGCGTGATATCACTCTTTTGTGATCTTTATGTTTCGGTCGTCTGAGGATTCCTGACATCATGTAATTCTTCTGTGAGAACTCATAAACATGTGTTAAGTCGTCGACCTTTTTTTCACACGCGTGCTATGATTCTGTTTGGATCAAATGATTGCGAGTTAAATTTAATAAATGAAGGAACATGGTGAATTCCCGAAAAATGTGATAAAGTTCGACGAAAAAAATTTCCAACTTTGAAAATTTCAAACGATAGCAATCTTCGTAGCAAAAGATCTACTCGGTACAATATCATAAGTTAGGATCATAGTAAAGCCGAAAGCACTAGGACAATAACCAACCATGTTGTTATACAAGAACGTCAAGGCGATAGTGTTCTTATCATTCTTAATGCATTAGGTACGTTACTCACAAATGCTATACCTAATTAAGTGCGATAACGTTGTGTACTAAAATATGTACTAAAAAAGCTAACGGCGATGTAATATGAGAAATATACTGCTTATGACGAGGTTTCACGAATATGCCTGGTGACTTATTGTTAGTATTGCAACACATTATCAAGATCGAAAACGTGGTGAAACAACTCAAGAATATCGGTGAGAAGGTTTTCAAAATAATGGAGAAAATTTTTGAATTTCTATCAGCAAAGTACAACGCTTTCGTGATCATCTGAGACAGCTTAGAAGCGCTCAATCAGACTATTTTCAACTTGACACAAAGACTTATCAAGAAAGAAATGCAATTCGCTACAACCGACGAGGCGGTTAATCTGAAGCAACACAAGGAGGGATCGAAAAATAAAAGGCTCCATCAGTTCCAAGGAGATGACCCCGAGCGAGCAAGGTATAAACATTACGAATCTCAATACTATCGTGACAGAGGGCACATTGCGCGAAACTATAGAAAAAGGCGCATTTACCAAAAAGATCGAGACGACAAAAAACGCGACGCAAATGATATGCACGAAGGTAGTTCCGCGGACTGGCAATAAACTGAATTTTTCGTACGTAAATATTTTCGGAGACAATCGTGAAAGAAATGCAGAATGTATATTCATATTCCGAACTAGTAGAGAAAGAAGTAAGATCCAAAACCAAAAAAGCTTATTTTTGTGGATTATCAAGGCGATTCAAGAAATTGATCGACTGATAGACCCAGAGACGAACAAGATAACAATCTCGCAAGGCATTAATTTTAACGAGTATGCCGAGTTAAAGTTTGCACCTCCAGCGGCCAGTATATGTCCAAGCATATTAAACGACAATGAACAGCTCAAACAACCAAACGACTGCATTCAGCGCGATGTAAATCTACGTAAGAATAAGCAACGCGCGATGGATTCAGATGATAGTCCGCGATTAAACTTGAGGTACTGTAGTTTATTGCGCGCGCTATGTCGATACGAAACTTGCTTTGCCTTGCACATTAAACCGAAAACGTAGGGTGATCAGGAAAGACTTGGAAAAATAGATTCAAGCCATTCGTGAAGCGCTAGTGTCTTATATAAATAAAATATGACTCCTTTTTCCTTTATCTTACAACCGTAGAGCCATAAGATATGAAATGTTTAAAGTAAAAACTACGTCATCGGGCGAAGCCGCATGTTACGAGGCACACTTACACACTCAAGTTTTTTTGCGAAAGACAGAATTAGATTACAACACAATTTTCTCTTCTATCGTGTGATATGATTCTGTTAGACACTTTTGCCAGCCGCCGCAGTTGATTAACGATCTTGAAGTACATCAATTCGATGTCAAAACTGCTTATTTGTATAGTGAATTAGAATAGTGAATTAGAAGAAAAACGATGCGTTTTTAAATTCATCAAGCGAATATTCCTATATTTAAGAGGTACCAGAAATTAAGGTATAATGTACAGAGGCAGTGGAAACGGACTCGAACTGGTTGGGTTTTTGGATTCCGATTACAGCAACAACAAAGACAATCCAAAACAACAAAGGCACTCCAAAACTGGTTATTTATTCGAATTAGTAAACGATACTCCAGATCCATGATGCTTAAGACGACAGAACACAATCAGTCTCAGCACTACTGAAGCGGAGTTCGTTGCAATGAATGAAACAGTGAAAGAGGCGATTTGGTTGCGCCAACAATGAGTGATATTGAATCAAAACCCATTCTGTATGTCGACAATCAAAGTACGATTAGGTTGCAAAAAACCAGAGGTTTCGTCATACAAAGCACAATGAGATCCGATATCGCTTTATAAAAGAAAAATACGTGTGCGGAAAAATTAATGCTGAACATGTACCTACAGAAAATCACAAGGTGAACCTGTTGACTAATCATGATCACTTTTATGAACAATGTAAGAAAACGAATGTAATCGATATAATACCAAAACGCTCACTGAATGGGAGTGTTAAACCTGACGCGTTGATTTGTATCACGCATTTTTATATTTTATGTCCGTCTCACCAAGGCGACAGACAGTCTCGTCATAGGCTACGTTTACACCGTGCGCTTAGTCCGCGACCTATACGATAGGTGTCTTTGTTTAATCTACAGGATAAACAAGGACATCTATTGTTTAGGCCGCGGCCTAAATGCACGGTGAAACTGTAGCCATAATCTATACCGGACTTGCCTAGCGCGCCCATGCAAGTTAAGATCCCTTTCACCACCCTCATCTCTTTCTAATTCGAAAATTAGATTTCGAAAATTATCTTTCTAATTTTCGAATTAGAAAGAGATAAAGAGTAAATTAACCATAAGTGTGAAATTGGGCTTAAATACGCGCCCCATGTAACCGTCGATCGAGCTTAACCGAGGAAAAAGACTCTTATTATTAGTCTATCGTATACCGGCACCATGAAAAACTCCTGCTTTTCTGATTTATTTTAATAAACTTTTTGTGTATCTTCAGAGTAACGATTGATCCAATTAATTTCTTGCGCTCATTGGACAATTAGCATACTAACTATTTTTTTTATGTAGACACTGAGATCTGCAAAGTATTCAAGACTTATGTAATATTTTAACAGTAAATGTCTAAACACTGCGCTCTGACATCCACTTTGGCTATTTTTGTTGACTCATTCTTAAAGAATAAATTAGTTTATTTTTTACTAGCCAGCATTCGAATAAAAACAAGTAATTATTGCTGGGTAAACACTGTTTTACTAAAAAATTGTTATATATATATATAAAAGACAAAATAGTTAATATTATAGTTTAAAAAACCTGGTCTAAAGTGAAAAATCATAAAAATATACTGGATTATTATGCTTTCTATTATATAATTATATAGATAACATTTAAAGTATTATTGTTAATAGCAAATAACTTTTGCAAATCGCAGATTTTTTCATTTAATACGAGTAGAAAACTATCTATATCTTCTTAAAACAATAAGAAACAAAAATGTTCATTGAAAATAATTGTACCTCTATGCTTTTTTAAATAAGCTAATGTACATAATAAATGCACAAGTTCTCATTTAAGTTCCGCGATAAAAGTGAGCTACGAATTATACAATTAACCTACATTTGTGAGGAAAATGTAGAGGTACTAAATGTCTTACTGTTGAAATTCCGAGAACTAGCATTCGTTTTAATGCTTTTATGAGAATCATGACTAAAAGAAAGTTTCTCCGACAGACGATCGATTACAGATTCTGTAAAGTATAAGGGTCGTGACAGTGCCGTAACAAAATTTCGAATCAGAATTACAAGTAGAAACCATTATTTTACTTAATCTTTTTATTGCACTATCTTATTGAATTCTGCGCAGCGAAATATTCTCAGAATACATATTTTTCTGAAAAAAAAAAGCTGCAAACAAAACAATTTTCCGTATTTTCCGTCACGCTAAAATCTGCCTTCGACAATTTCTAAAATAAATTTTCGCGAGCTTGTACTCGACGTGGTAAAACGTAACTGACGCTGACATGTCATCCTCGAGATGCCACACTGTTATTACTTCGGGTGGCAAAGCTTCCTATATTCCGTGCCGATCGTAGATTTGTCGGGGGAGTTTCTAACAGCAATTACTTCGCTAATGGAGCCCCCACGGAGAGATGCTGGTCGACTTTTGCTAAAGTCTCTCATCCAGGACTACTCTTCTGGTTCCTGGACTTTGCGACGACGACGTTGAAACTTCTCGCGGATCCCGATAGTTTTTGTGCTCTTGCCGAGTTATCCGGGAGGGTCCTCGTTGATCTTTAAATTGCCGATTTACGGAGATCCTCCGTTTGATTCACGATTTCTGGCCAAAGAGACCTTATTGGACGAAATTCGTCGAATAGTTTCATCAGTACGGCAATAACAATTCCTAAAAATGCGACCGCGATCAAGTCAGACAAAGTTGTATGTCTGTGTTAATGGCTTTATTATCTCTTAGCAGAAAGCATAATAATCTGGTTGCATGACACGCTTGATATACGATTGGAAAATATACTATACATAGTATAAGATATCTCGTGTAATCCATCAATCCCGCTATTGCCGTGTTATCTCGCGGTTAAATGCAATAAACGGCGGTGACATGTTATTTGCAGCACGCTTTGCATTTAAATGTGTCTGTGGATTTTTTGTGTGTATGGTATCTTGTATATCTCATTTCAGACACGCAACAAGACAAGGAGAGGGATAAACATGAAGCCGAGTACATGCTACAGGAAAATGGCAAAGCAATGTACGAATGAACTTGTTACAGATTGTGACGTATATATATCTAGAAATAAATACGGGATACGTAGACTGGATAATGGATCATTGTGCGCGACAGGACTCGCTGGCTTATTAACGTCTCGACACGGCCAGAAGAGGCTCCCATAAAACTTTTACGGACCGTATACGGTTTCGTATGGGGGCAAACGCATGCTTTTTACGAGAATGCTTCCGGCATCGAAATCTTCTCGTACCTTTTATCGTAACCGTAAAAATAACCGCGCTGAGCCCGTTTATTGTCCCATTTTTTACGTGGCTGCACGCGATCCCAGATGTTGTGAAATGTCCTCCGGTACGATGGCTCCTAATCCATCCCGATACTCTCTGGTTGAATTCTTCAAATTCCTTTCTCTGTCATCGCGAGAAATACGTCCACTCTTGTTATTTTTAGCAAGTCAACGAACAGAGAAAATAGACGAGACTCAATTTCGATGCATTTTTTGACAAACTTAAAATGATATGTCACATTCTCCGGACTAACAATGAGAATTTTGCTGAGCGAAATATGTACATGGAAAGAATGATTTTGCTGAAGTATCTAAAAATTTAGCTAGATATATATAAATTTGAAAATAATTTTATTGAGCTGTCAAAATGATTATGTAAGGGGTTCAAGCACAGTGAGTGATGCTGCAAAAATGTTTGATATTTATAAAACTGAAAAATGTATTTGCAAATTTATATTGAACATTATATTAAGCATTTAAGATCGCTTTAATTGAAAATAGGATTTTTTGATATTTTTTACTAGTTTAAATTACATTTGATAGTCTAACGAAATTATTTTCAGTATCTGTATCTGGCAAAAGTTTTATAGATATTTTAGCAAAACCATTCTTTCTATGTAGAAAAGCTTGGGAAAAATTTAGTAAATATCGAATTTTAATTTCAAGAATTTTGATTAACAATCGATTTGCATTTGTGTTGATAGGGAATTTGTGCCATCGGAAACGAAGGAGGAGGAGGAGGATAAACCAGCCTCAGAGTCGCCATTACTGGTACCTGTGTCTTATTACAAACTGGTGAGTTTTCCCCGATAGAATAATTTATGAGCGTGTCCTCGGTCGAATTTCAAGCGCGATATTCCCTGCGGCAGAAGCTGGTACATTTAAGGAATCAAAAATATATATGGGGTGTTCCTTATCGTTCCTTCATTCTTCCTTTCTACAATATAGATTCTTTGTCCAAAGACAGAGCGGCTTTTCCGAATATCAATCGCTTTATAACTTGGAAAATATCAGAGCATCAATATTCCCCTTAAGATATGTTTTGACTATTCTACTCAACTAAAAGTATCAGTTAAAAATTCAATCAAAAAGATCAATATTAGTCAATGCCAATTAAAACATTTTATCTTAAATACATTCTAAAAAGAACTGCTAAAAACTAATTATTTAGTTTTTAATAACTAGCACAGTGCAACCATATTTTGCTACAGTTTTAGGTAAATAATTTTTAAAAGAGTAAGTGAATCCAAAAGAACTTTTGCGTAAATATTTATTAAAGTTTTGTTAGTATAGTAAAATGAATACGATTTAATTTGTAATATTACTTTCTTATAAAATGTGTAAATAAGTACTACAAAATGCTATTTCACATAAAAATCAAGGCAAATAAAAAATCAAATAACTTTTAAATAAGAAAACTGTGTTAAAATCTTATGCAAAACTCAGATATATCGTAATAATATAACAATATTTAAAATTTTTGTAATTTTAGAAATGTTTGAATTACTCTAACAGATTCAGGATTCAGTGATAACACATACATCTTTAAGATATGTAGATCGACTCTAACAAAGCGGATGAAAGAAATGCAAATAGGAGTTTGGTACACCCTATATATTCTTTTTCTATAACGTCGTGTTATAAACGAAATGGAGCACGTAAGGAGGAGTGATCCACCGGCAAAGCCGTTAAGATTGTTACTTTTCTCCTGATCACGCCGACTGTGGAGCATCTTTGGATGAGCGACAGTGATTAATGATACTGCTCTCTGTGATAAACGACAGTTAATGACTCATTGCCGGGATACATTTGTATGATTTTCTACATTATAATTCTCACTTAATAGACCGTGAACCCTCTTGCACACTCGGGAATTAAACTTGGACGATATTTTTCACGAAACCATAAATTCGAATATATTTTTCGGTCAATTATGATTGTTCTTGCGTAGGAGTAGGTTACGTGGCCGCTCGTTAATCATGGTTAAGCCGGTATTAATTTTCCAAGCTAAATCTCTCGGAAAGCGCGAATCCACGTTGCTGAATCATTCAAAAACGCGCAGGTTCGCCGTGTCGAATAACTCGTAAACGTGCTTACTCGAAACTTTTGGAAAAAGAACACTTTACGCTTCAAATGTACACTGATCTCATGTTTTCTCTGTCTTTCTCTCTGACATTCTTATGGACACGTATATCTCTCAATAAATTTTATACAGTTGCGCTATTTGTGAATATAATTATAAAGTGCAATAGTAATATTTGTAACTGTAAATTGCACACGCGAACTAACTTGGAGAAAAAGACGTAGTAGTGGCAACTATAAAACTGATAACTATACTTGTACATGAATTTTATATGTAAAATTAATGTACATTAGTTAATTAAATACATTAATTAGTTAAATTATTTTGTAGCTATTGTAACTGCAATAAAAAAACTACAAGATATAAAATAATAAAATATTTTATTCAACTGTGTACATTAATTCTATATATAAAATAGTTATCATTTTTCAAGTGTATTGCTATCATTACACAGAAAGAACAATTTCGTTAAAATATCTAACAATTTAACTGTATAATGTATTATACAGATTTGAAAATAATTTTGTTGAATTATCAAAATAAAATTATTAAGATTTGTATTTAGCTAAATTTTCAAATATTTCAGTAAAGCTGTTCTATCCGTGTTTTTCTCTAAATGTAGTGTTATAATTATCACTTACCGCTGAATTTCTCTCTTTCTCTCTCTCTCTCATTACTAATTATATTCTTAAACTATTTACTTTATTAAAAATCCTTATTACATTATCGAAAATTTCTTTCATAATAATTGTGTGTTTTAATTGTTCCGAACTTATCAGTTTCGTTTTGCAACGTGGGGCGAGTTGATGCTGATCTTCTTAGGTCTGATACTGGGTTGTCTCGCAGGTTTATGTATTCCAGTTGCAATAATCCAATACGGAGAATTCAGTAATATGCTATTGGATCGTAATAGGGAGAACGACATGACCACGTCAACAATTATATTACCATTATTCGGGGGTGGGAAGATTTTGTAAGTAAAATTTCATCTTTTTATTTCTTTGAAAATTAATAATTATTCCACGAAATACGTTTTATAATAACAAGAAAAATATATATTAACAAGAATAAAAATATATATTACGATATGTCGGTGTAACAGATTCCTCAAGACAGATTCTCTTGAATGTCGAATCGAGGCGAGGAGACAACAGACTGTTACTTTATTCTAACACGGACCGTTATTTATTCCAGATATCCTAATGCTACTCATCAAGAAAGAATGGATGCTCTTTATGATGATTCGGTGGCCTTTAGCGCTTCCTGCGCGTCATTGTCAGCGATTATGTTCGTCCTTAGCATGCTTATGGTCGATGTACTTAATATCGCTGCCTCCAGACAAATTTCCAGAGTTCGCAAGATGTTTCTGAAAGCCGTTCTAAGGCAAGACATGTCATGGTACGATACGAACACATCAACCAATTTCGCAAGCAGAATCAACGAGTAAGTTTTCTTCTTATTGTTACGCAAATGTCGTATCGCGGATTGAAAATAACAGGAGTTACCTCGCAAAATTTATATCGGTTTATTTATATTCGTTTATTCAATCCTTAAACGCCTTTTCAATATGCAATACTCGTCGGTTTTTCTTTTTCCAATATTTTTTCAATACTTTTCCATGTGTTTGTAAATTTTTTTTTATTAATAAAGATACATTTGCTTGGTACTGTTATGTTTCTTCACGGAAAGAGTGGTTTTGCTAAAAATTTAGCTAAATCTAGATCTGAAAATAATAAAAATGATCTAAAAATAAATAATTTTGTTAAGCCCCCCCTCATCAAAATAATTACATGGAATACTCAAACTGATTAGAACATAATTATTTTGATAATTCTGCAAAATTATTTTCAGATTTGTATCTAGCTAAAATTTTACATGTTTCAACAAAATCGTTCTTTTCATATGACGTTTAAGGGTTAAAAAAGGGATATTTTAACCTTTTGGACTTGATATCAGAGAATCTGTAATACAGTTATGACGCTACGTCTGTAAGATCTATTTAATTTACATATGTAATTAAAAGATTAATCTCAAGAAATGTCAAAATTTGTATAAAAAAGAATAAATATTTAATATATTTTAATAAGACTAATCTAAGTTTTGGTAACATAAAGAAATTTTTTGACAAAGAGACTTATATAATTGAATGGATCCTATTTTTTATTAACCTACTATCAGCTCCGGAGAGTTAAAAAAGTTTAAAACTGTGTAAATCTTATGTTTGTTAATAACATATCGAATACTTTGATGTTAAGCAAAGATTTAATAAAGATTAACAACTTCAACGATACGATCTCTCGTTGCGGCTGAATAATTTTAACGGGGAGGATACTCTGTACGTTCACGCGCTGGTGCGTCCTCAAAGGGAGAGAACGTTGTACCTTCGATTTTCGAGACCGTCGATGTAAACGCGGGGCGGTCGCGGGAGGAGACGTGAGGAGCAAAGTTCAGGAGGCGAGAACCTGTGTGTTCATCAACAGGTGGGCGTTTGCTCGAAACTCGAAAAGCCTGTTCCCACACTGTCTCTGCCTCCGCTTTCATTACACCGTATAGTAATTGGATGAGCGTATTAAGTTATTAGCCGTGAGAATCGCAAGTATGTTAATTTTTATTTTGAGATAACCGCGGTCTCGTTATTCCATTTTTCACATCGCGATAAAGATAAGAAGAGAACAGGCAACAAGAGATATAAATTATTGTGCTTTAATGTAACATGTGCAATTAAACTAGGAATATATAAAAACGTAAGGCAATGAAACTTTAAGCAGTAAATAAATGGACCAATTATAGTAGAGGAGAACGTAAAGATAGTTTTGTACTTGATGATTGGCCGATTCATTTACTACTTACATCCTACTGCCTTACACGTTTTTTTGTATGTGTTTCTGGCTTTACAATTCTTACAGACTGAGTGTCTGTAACAAATATGATAACAGCAATGTCGTCATCGCGTATTTTGCTATCTAGAAAATATATAGACGTATTTATAGTAGAATGTGCACACATTGATCGACTATTTTTTGTTGATCGGCTATCGATTGTCCAGCAACTGCTGGCGTGATATAAAGATTTTAATCTTGTGGCAGATGGAGTGCAAAAAAAAGTGAGATAGCGATAACGCTGACAATGACAGATGCTGATAAACGTTGATCTCGATCAAAACTCGGTAGCTTCGAATACGTGCTTGTTTAAAGCTGAACTTCAGAGGATCTAGTTTTTATTATTTAAAAAATGATATTGACTCGAAATGAGATTGAGCAGAAGATCAAAGAATTTATTTAGCTATTATATTATTATATCAGATATGTAAAAAAAATTGTCATTCGTCTTTTGCAGAGATTTAGAAAAGATGAAAGAAGGCATGGGAGAAAAACTAAGTATTATAACATACTTAATGAGTTCATTCTTCTCTTCTGTGATCATCTCGTTCATGTACGGCTGGTTGCTGACCCTAGTCATGTTAAGCTGTGCTCCGATCATAATAATTGCCACGGCCTTTGTCGCCAAGATGCAGAGTTCTCTCTCGGCTAGGGAACTGGCGGCCTACGGTCAGGCTGGTAGCGTCGCCGAAGAAGTTCTTGCATCAATTAGGACCGTGGTCGCCTTTAACGGCGAGCAGAAAGAGGTAGAGAGGTACTCGGAGAAACTAGCACCCGCGGAAAAAACTGGAATCAAAAGGGGCATGTGGTCCGGAATCGGCGGCGGCGTCATGTGGCTGATCATTTATCTCAGCTATGCGTTGGCATTTTGGTGAGAATATACGTTATTATCGCAAAAAACACGTTTCATGCAATACTAGATTCGAAAGTCTATGATCTTATACAATTTAATAACTTCGACAAAAAGTATCAGAGATACCTACATCATGCGTGTAATTAAAAATTCAGTTCCCGTGATAAGATTTCGCTCTTTTACTTCAAAAATAATACTGGTAAAAAAACGTGATTTTCGAGTTATTATATTATAATATAAATAAGTTTAATAAACATTACCCTCAATCATTAAAAGTAAACTAACTTAACTTCCTAAAACATTAAATTTGTCAAACTTAAAAAGAGAGATGGTTAAAAAAATTTTTAATTTAAAAAGAATTTTTTAAAGGTTATAAAACACAGAAATATGACCTTTGATTGTATTAAGAATATTCTTTTTTGATTACCGATATTATTTAATTATTTTATTTCGTTTGTATTGTATCTTACCATATTTGACAATGTGAATAAAGCAATTTTCATCTTTCAAATCTCGGGATAGATAATTGGACGTTTACATCTGGAATAGTCTCGCTCCTTTTTATGCAGTTCAACGAAAAAAGCGATAGGACGTGTCGCGTTCCAACAAAAAGCACATTTTCTCTTGTGTCACAGGTACGGTGTAAAATTAATTCTGGACGACCGCCCGAATGAAGACAAAGAATACACGCCAGCAGTATTAGTGATCGTGTTCTTCGGCGTTCTGAGCGGTGCACAAAACATGGGTTTGACTTCGCCGCATCTCGAGGCATTCGCGATGGCTAAAGGTTCAGCGGCTGCAATTTTCAATGTTATCGATCGGGTGCCGTCGATCGACAGTCTCAGTAAGCAGGGTCGACGGCTCGACTCCGTTAACGGAGAAATCGAATTCAGAAACATCGCGTTTCGCTACCCGGCGAGAAAAGATGTCGAAGTTCTTCAATCGCTAAATCTGAAAATCAATCGTGGCGAAACAGTGGCGCTTGTCGGTGAATCTGGGTGTGGAAAATCTACATGTATACAGCTCATCCAACGACTCTATGATCCCCTCGGAGGACAGGTCAGAGTAATTCATTAATCGGATTCTTTTTTTCTCGCTTAAACACTGAGAGAAATATTTGATATAAATAACCATTATTGGTAATATAACATTTTCCTTTTTATATAGTCAGCTCCAAATGACCTTCGTTATTTTATTGATATGTAATAAAAACTTTGTTATTTTTAGGCTCTTGTTTAGTAACTGTTAATGACAATATCGTTTATATTGTTGCATAGGTTTTTCAACACTTACAAAATCTAATCTGCGCAACGACAATGTAACAATATCGTTAATCATTGAGAATTACAAAATAGGGGTCTAAATTAAAAAAATGATTAAAACAATACCATTTTTTTAATAGAAAAATGTTTTAATCAATTTGTGCTTAAAATAATTTAATTTTGATTAGAACAATATAGTCCTTTATTTAAAAGATAAGAAAGTTTTTGTAATTCGCATATCAACAAAACAACGGTTATTCATTCCAAATATTTCTCTCAGTGAAGGAGAATTCGCCGCTTCGTCAGAATTATTCGTTATATTATATAAATGCGCGTACAGGTGTACGCAGTGCAGAGCGAAGAATGCTTTAATTTAGAGGCATAAAAATTTTGGATACCGCATTTCACTTTTTGTTTACGTAGAAGACTTACTGTAAACTTGTTTTATGGAATTCTTTTAATAGCAAAAGTATAAAGGCAGAGAATTCGCGTGCTATGACGAGCGTTGTTACGCAGAATATAAAGTTAATAACCGCGCATATAGCGTCATAAATGTCCGAGTGACGTTTTTATCCCTTGCAAAATTACACTGACGCTGAATAAATGGCATTGCGCTGCGGTAATTTACTCTGGCGTTATTCAGAAAATAATTGTTTTATCGTCATCGTCTCCGTATTATATTTTTTTATCATTTTCTGTTGAACGTCTTCGACCGTCGTCTTATCGTTCGGTTCACTTATCTTGTTTGTATTTTCATAACGAGAAAAATTTGCGGGAAAACGGCAAATTTTTTCCGCCGCGTTTTTTCACAGGAGAGAGATAATTGAGATCGGGTGCATCATGTGCGATGAAGAGTGTCGTTGCAATGTTATTATTAATGCGACCCCACGATTTTTATATACGAAAGTCAAAGTAGCTGCCGACTCTAGTAACGCAGCATCCTACGTGTAATAAACATTTTATGTTTTATACCTTGAGGCTTTTCACCACACTTTATCTAACGAATATATTATGCTTGTGTATTCAATAAAGTTGCAAACTATAAGTTGGTTTTAGTTATATGTAATGTTAAAATGCATATGCAACATATGCACTTTATCATAGATCCATGCTACAGAGATGTAAAAGGATAGTGATTATTTTTAATAATGTATTATTTTATGTATTGAATAATCTTACTTTACATTTTTAAAACTCTTTTTATCAATTTCGTATAAGTCTATCATATTTAATATTGCTAATATTTTAATGTTATTGTTATATTTTACTGAAGAATTGTTATATTTACTGAGATTTATTGAAGAAATAACCAAGATTGAAAAAAAAGTATATTATCGCTCCATTACTTTAAAAGTAACACTACTAAAAGAAGTTTCCTATAAATGAGAAAAAAATATTTTTTAAGTTGACAAAAAATCATTGACTGATCAATAAAATTGACAAAAAGAATATAACATCATCGTTTCGCTCAACTATCGATTCTCGTTTCACGCAAAATGTTAACATGTCAGCTTGGCATATTATGTGCGCACAGATGGAGAGACAATTTCCAAGAGTTCCCGTATTTTCCTATGCAGGTCTTGCTGGACGGAGTCGACGTGTCGACATTGAACGTTCAATGGCTACGCTCGCACATCGGCGTAGTTGGTCAGGAACCAGTACTCTTTGACACAACGATACGCGAGAACATCCGTTACGGAAATGACAGCATTACCGAAGAGGAGATGATCAAAGCCGCGAAGGAAGCAAACGCTCACGACTTCATCTCTAAATTGCCGGAGGTGAGCACCACCGCCCTTTTCTCGTATTCCAGCTGCGCTTTACCCGTCCGGAATTATAGTTTCCTTTTGGTTGTGCTTCGGCGCAAGAGTTCGATTGATTCAACCAATTTCATTCAGGAAGTCACAGAGCTAGCGAATATACATTGACGTTGATTGAAAACTCAACGAAGATATTGTATCCGTTCGTTATTGTCTCTTCTGCCGAAACTTTACCGTTAGTTTGTTTGGAATATGTTAAACTATATTGTAGAACGAATGTATTTGCTAGTTAGGCTGGTGATACATAAAAGATGTAAGAATAAGTCAACATTTTTTACTTGTTATAAATGGTTTTCCTAAAGTATTAAAAAAATTAGCTAGATACAAATTTAAAAATAATTTTGTTAAATAATTATCAAAAGAGGCTATTTATTATCACTAGCATAACAATTACTATTATTTACAATCATGAGATGCCAATGTACTGCTTGAATTTAAAGCTAAAGTAATATTAGATAACATTTTAATTTTAATAGTTTATAAAAGGAATATGCAATTTTTTACTTTTTCGCTTTATTTCTACATTTTTCGTGAAACCGATTGTTTCATTTCTACATTTTCTTATATATTTTTCTTCATGAAAACCAAAAATTATCGTAAGTTTTTAAATATTTGAAGCATAACGATTTCATAACGTTGTGAATAAGGATTTTATTATATTAACTTTGAATTAATGTATAAATTTTTCCTTAAGTGTAATGTCATTATTGTGATAATTTTCGATTTCAATAAAAAGATATATATAAGAAAACATAGAAATAAAATGATATCTGAATGGTCGAAAAAAGTTGTATTTTTTTTGTTATTGCGAAGAGGCGTATGATTCGAAGCTAATCGATGAAATCTCATTGGACGCGGGTGAGTTTTGAGATTTCCACGAGTGTAATTGAAAAGATAAATTAACAAGTAACGAAACAGACAGTGTAATTTTCTCGAATAATCCCCCGACTAGATAGAACCATTGTCATCGTGCGTTGCGATGTGTTAACAATAGTCTCAGGTGTGCCGGGCAGTCCGCGCGGTACGCGCGCAAACAGGCTATAAAACACGCGTGTTAAACTGTGCGCGGGGCAAATAACATTATCCGAGATTACGCCTGTGTCAACGATTAGGCGTTTATTAGCGGATTATCGGTAGGTGAATTCAATACTCGCGATATTCCCATATTAGTCCCACTGGATCGCTGTCCGCGTTTGCACACACATTTAGAGCTTATCCGGCTACGTTCGCACGCCCTACAATTTAACTATGCAGCTTCATTTTCACCATCAGAAAAATGAAGTCTGCTCGGTATGAGTTCATCAGGATTGTAATTAGTCAGCGTGCTCCATAACGTTTCCTGCCGCAATAACGTTTTTGGACAGTGACTGCGTTATCTATTAAATCACGTTGTAAATGGATTTGACGAACATCGTAACAACAGAAATCCCGTTAACTGAAAACTCCAAGCTTTTTGTTAGATCTGACTTGCCTGCGGAAAGACCACTGATCGAGAAACACCACTATCAGCAAACGTGTTGCAACTTGCGTATTTATTAAACCGCACGTTGCATATATATACACCACAGATGTGACATGCTGTTTCGTCCTTGATTAAATACTGTTACTTTGAACCGCAAATAGCTCGAAAACTGTCCTCAGGTGATTGGTGGCACATAGCCGGTACCAAATTGACGCTCAAAGAACGTCAATTTGCAAATTTAAATTAAAAAAAGAGGTACAAAAGAAAAGATATTGCATAATGGAAGAAGAAAAAAAAATTTGTTGTCAAAATATTTGCGATAAAATTAAATTGCTATAATGCCGTTAATATCTTACTGTCGCGAAAAATATTTCTATTTCAGAAAACTGTTTGCAATAACTTCAACTTAAAATTCAAATAGAATTGTCAAATGTATAAAATTCATAAAGTTTAGAATGTACAATGCTAATATATCAGAGAATTTGAGAGAATTACTATCGGTTTAAAAAAATTTATCCTGTTTGATACACGCACATTTTGCGATGACGCATTCTAATGTCAATTCGTTCACGAAGATCGGCAACATAAAGCGGTTGATTTGTGAATGGACAGGGATACGATAGTCCAGTTGGTGAGAGAGGCTCTCAGATGTCTGGTGGACAAAAGCAAAGGATTGCCATCGCACGCGCGCTAGCCAGGAACCCGGCGATCCTTCTGCTGGACGAGGCGACGTCTGCTTTGGACGGTCATAGCGAGGCGATTGTGCAGAGAGCCCTCGACGTGGCAGCGAAGGGAAGAACAACGATTATAGTCAGTCACAGACTTTCCACTATCACGAACGTCGATAGGATTGTGTTTATTAAGGATGGGATTGTCGTTGAGCAAGGAACTCACGAGGAATTAATGGCGCTCAAAAATCACTATTACGGATTGCATTCCGCCCACGCAGATGCTACAGCTAAAGGTACGCTTTGGCTTACAAACGTTTTGTGTTGATGTTTCTGTGAACGTTTAAATATACAATACATTTTTTATTATTCATTACTATATAGATAAGGCCTCGAAGGTTAAGACCATAGTGTCAACTCCGAAGATGAAGATAAAACCACCGTTAAATCAACAATTCTCAACGTTATCCGCGCATTCCCATCGACTTTCTCTCGCAAGATCTTCGAATGAAGAAGAATTGGACGAGCAAGAGAAACCTTACGACGCGTCTATGATGAGAATATTTGGATTGAACAAACCGGAATGGCCATTAAATTTGATCGGTAATTTCTTTTAACAATAACAAACAAGTAGTGATAGTGATAAGATCTGTTAAGAGTTTAGATCTTATGAGAGTATAGGAGATAAACAAAATAATGTAAACCTCTCTCTCTGGAAAATATACTACTTCTTTTATTAATAAAAGATTGGCCAATCATCTTCCTTTAATACAAATTCTATTTTTTCTTATTGAAATACAATCATATAATGTTTGATCATTAATGGATTCAGGTAATACGGAATTATATAGCATCTTATATAACGCATACATTTTATACAACACTTATATAACATTACTTATATTTAAGTAATTGAAAGATATTCTAATAAAAAAAGTGTACAACATTCCACAGATAATATTTCAGTAATATTGCAACGTTGCAGTAATATTCCATGTTATCTGGGGAATGTTAATAGAACATCTTTCAGTTACTTATACAAGTAATATTAAATATATAAGTGTTGAAGAAGAAAATTTGCTTCTCACTGTATTTTCTAAAATTGTCCTATTCTCCAAAACTTCAGCATTTTCTCTAGCGCAATTACCTGCAACTTAAATATATTATTGAATCGTTGTGGGCAGTTTTGAAAAGCTAAGTAAGAAGCAAATTTCCTCCTTCAATATTTCTTAAACAGAAGATATTCTGCTAACAAAATGGTATCAAACGGCATTGTATGACTCTATTTTAACAAAACTAGACAATTTGTATTAAAATAATGATAAACCTCTCATTAATGAAACAAGTAGTGTGTTTTTTATATTCACGCATTATTTTGTTCCCTTTATAAAAGTACAAGAAAATTGAACATAAAATATCATTAAAAAAAAGAAAAATAATTTATATTGTATATGATTTCTTGTAGGAAGTCTCGCGGCAGCGACAGTAGGCGCTTCCTTTCCAGCTTTTGCTATTTTATTCGGAGACATTTATGGTATATTGAATCTTCCTAACGCCGAGGAGGTCATGAACGACACCATTCTCATGTCGATACTTTTCATTGTCGTCGGCTTAATTACGGGAGTTGGCACTTTCCTGCAGATGCACATGTTCGGGCTGGCCGGCGTGCGTATGACGACGCGAATAAGAAAGATGACATTCAGCGCGATGTTGAAACAGGATATGGGTTGGTACGATGAGGACAAAAACAGCGTGGGTGCGCTCTGCGCGAGGCTGTCGTCGGACGCGGCGGCTGTCCAGGGTGCGACCGGAACTCGGATCGGTTCCATGCTCCAGGCCTTCTCGACACTCGTGATCGGAATCAGCATATCCATGTACTACAGCTGGAAGATGACGCTGGTCTCGGTAGTGTCGATTCCGCTGGTACTCGCGGCGGTATTCTTTGAGGCGCGAGTCATAGGCGGTCAGGGGATGCAGGAGAAGAAGAAGATGGAGTCAGCCACCCGGGTGGCCGTTGAGGCAATAACCAATATACGTACGGTCGCCAGTCTCAACAAGGAAGAGGTATTCTTAAAGAGATACTGCGTAGAACTGGACCACGTCGCCCAGGCGATGCGAATCAGAAATAAACTGAGAGGATTGGTCTACTCATGCGGACAGACCATACCGATGTTTGGTTACGCCATAAGTCTTTATTATGGTGGTTACCTGGTGGCCAGAGAAGGATTAAGCTACGAAAAAGTCATTAAGATATCGGAAGCGTTAATATTCGGCTCATGGATGCTGGGACAGGCGCTCGCCTTTGCGCCAAACTTTAACACAGCCAAAATCTCGGCCGGTAAAATCTTCAAGCTGCTCGACAGAGTTCCGGAGATCACTTCGCCACCGGGATCAGAGGGAAAGGATTTAGACTGGGTGAGCTCGCTTTAGTAATCTCTCGCATTTTCGGCGTGTAAGTTCGGTTACGAAAACCACAAGTACATAATGTGTTTTAGTCACCGCGCATTTTCTCTCTATCCTCTACATATAACATGTATTTATAGCGGTAGGTAATTAAATAAATAATATTTAGGAAATTTTCAAATCGCAATTAAGTTTGAACAATCAATATGTTTAATGTCGAATAATAGTAACGAAAGATAAGACATGCAATTAAATTTTGTTGAAAGAAAAATGGAAAATTCACCAAAGAACGTAAAGCGTAGAACGTATAGTAATTAGTTTCAACTTTTAATTAATCTCTTACAAAGTTAATCGAAATTCGCGCGACAATGAACACAATATTTAAATTGGCTACTAAATCGTAAAATTATTAGCTTTAGTGATTTGTTTTAATGCACGCGTGAGTTGTTATTGAATGCTGACGTAATTCGTGTGTATTTCGTTGCGAAATAATTTCCCTTGTAAACAAAGTAAATTCTAATTCTCAAGTGGATAATCAAACTACTGAAATTGATTGAATTAAGAATGAAGAAATCTTTAAATTTTTTAGACGCAATCCATTTAACGCTAAATACTCTGAAAAAAGCATTGGATTAACCAATCAAAAAAAAGAAATCCAAAGCATTTGTAGCATTAAGTGAAGTATAGCTTTTAGTTTCGAAACACAATAAACTGTAAGATATTGTGGTCTCGGTCGAATATGAAGAAAATAATCTTCTATGATTGGTTGATTTCTTACGGTTTAAGATTTATTACGTTTATTGTATTTCAGGACTTATGTATAAAAAGAAATCCAGACAGATTTCAAAAATGATTTAAAAAGGAACACAGTTATTAGTGGATTTATTTTCAATATTTTCTTAATGATTCGTTAAATAAAGTTGTTACTAACCTGTTATAGAAATTCTTTTGCTCTTTTGTAACTCTTTAAAATTTTGAAGCAAAGACGTATTTGTAATTGCTGTTATTTTGTTGAAAAACGCAGAATTAGAGTCATATAAGACTTACTACGATTAGACGCTGAATAGTATTTTACTATTTAATGAATTATTAACGAGAATTGTTAAATGGGATTTCTAGAGGAGATCCGCATGATTTACAATGCGCTCGACAAACTGCTTACGTAACCACGTCGCATAGAACGACGGAGAATGCACGAGGATTGCAAACGGTTTTGATGATTCGAGAAGCGTGCGCAGCGGACGCGCAAATTAATCCGATAATTACTGCGACGCTTTGCTGTAAACACAGCTAATTGTCGGGTGCATGTTTAATCTTCGCATCAGTATACATGCAGTTTGAAAAATAACGGTATCTGTATAATCTCGGGTAAAGTGCACGATAATGTCGCTGTACTTGCCTTAGTGCCGATACACTACCGTATCTCTTGATTCTCACTTTGTTAATTTGTGTTAATATTAACACCAATATGATATGGATTTAACACTATGATTTTAAATCTACAATAGTGTTGATAACACCAGCGGTTTGAAATCTACATCATGTTGGTGTTAATATTAACAATATAGTGAGAATTATATAGACATTGTACGGGTGTAGTTAAATGACATAACATTTGTTAAGAGTAAGATTCTACTATTTAGAGATAGATTTTGCTACAAAGATTTTAGAGAACATTTTTAAAGAACCATAAAAAGTAATTATTAAAAAGGAAGAAAATATGTATTAAACAATACCCATATATAAAACAATATTTTACAATAAATCACATTTTTTCGTTACATTTTAGGATGTAATCCTAGATAACTTACCCGGGTTAAATAAAGAATAATACTCACATTAAATATCTCCAAATTCTAATCGTTTTTCTGAAAAAAAATTAATAAAACTAGTTCTCGCACATTCTCCGTGTAATGAGTCGGATAAGGCGAGCGACGCGTGTGCATAAATTATGAAAACAATACAAATCCCCTTTTTGATAAACGAGCTTTATGTTTTTTATGCAGAAAGCGGATGGATTGATACAATATTCGAAGATCAACTTTAATTATCCGACGCGGCCAGAAATGCCGGTGCTCAAGGGGCTAGATCTAATTGTAAAGCCAGGCCAAATGGTAGCCCTCGTGGGTCAGAGTGGCTGCGGAAAGTCCACCTGCATACAATTGCTGCAACGGCTCTACGATCCGATTACCGGTATCTTGACATTAGACCGGCGTGACATCGCCTCGGTTTCACTGGCCACACTTAGATCACAGCTTGGAGTTGTGGGGCAAGAACCAGTGCTCTTTGATCGAACGATTGCGGAGAACATAGCTTACGGCGACAACAGCCGACAAGTGTCCATGAACGAGATCATCGAGGCTGCCAAGATGTCTAACATTCATTCATTTGTCGCTTCGTTACCGTTGGTTAGTCTCGTTGATGATGCTGTTATATAATACCCGCGCATCAGTTGCGCGTAACAGAAAGCGTGGAGTTTGTTTTAAAAAGAAAAAGAAACAAGAGCCTTTTACTATTGTTACATATAATGTAATATGAGTCACGTGAATAATAAATTTAATACATTAAAAGAACATCAAAAGACTGTTGTTAAATATTAATGTAATTAAATTGGGGATTAAATAATTATATACAGTATTATTATAATAATATTCAATTTTTTAATTAACATTATAATTGGTTTTGAATAATTTTAAAATAATTAACTAGAAAATTAAATGCAAAAGCTATATGAGGAAAGATTTAATGTATTAATGTTTTATAATATTGTATTATTAATATCTTTTTAATAATTTTTTCTACATAATTTATTATAATCCTGTTTCTTTTTTGCTTTAGGGTTACGATACAAGACTGGGATCAAAAGGTACCCAGCTAAGTGGTGGGCAAAAACAGCGAATAGCAATTGCGCGTGCCCTGCTGAGAAACCCCCGAATTTTGCTATTGGACGAAGCAACTTCAGCTCTCGATACTGCAAGCGAGCAGGTGAGAACTATCATCTGTTCTCTTAAAAAATTATTCAAGAATAATTTTACTAGTAATTTGTCTTCATTTTTAACGTTAAATAATCTCGCGTACAACAATACACTGTCGCGTACAACACTGTAGTGTATAAAAATACACTGTGTAATTTACTGTAAAAAGAATCTAGTTACATTAATTGGAATTCTGATTCTTGAAAAAAATTGTTGAAAATAGACAAATTAGAATTTTTTAATTAAATTTATTATAATTCAAAATTTTCTAGTTTATTTTCAACCAGCAATTTTTTTCAGAATGCACATTTTATTCTCGAGTATTATTTTAATTTTCTGAATAACTCTTGGAAATGTAAAGCAACAGCGACTAATAGACATAGCGACGAAAGTATGATCGCATTTACAATAAAACTACAAATATTAGTTGCGCAATATCTGCAGGAAATCACTTATTACAACCGTAAAAAAGTGCTCCGCGCGAGATTCGCGGAGCGGAATGATCTCCGTCCGGACTTTTATGTTTTGCTCGGTGTAGCGTGTACGATTTCTAGATTAACGGCGTATTATAATCTCTAAAATCACGTCTCGGCTCGACGATTACATTGCAGTTCGTCGATGACGAGATTGGACAACGAAATTGGAAGTCCGATTGAAAATTTCCCGAAGGGTACGGCCGTTATCGTTCTCGCAAAAGACCGACCGGCGACGGACAATCAAGTTAATAGTTGTCGAAAGTAACAGAGACGACAGTTTGTTTCGATCGTGCGCTTCTCTCGGATGTTATTCGCAGATTTCCTTCGCAAAAATCGCATATACTTCATAACACCGTTACTGGATAGTCATTAAGACCGTCTGTTGCATTCACTCTGTGCGAAATTTCGCTGCTTCAGTCGACAAGAAGATAGCGCTTGCACACGGTACTTGTTTATTTCTCTTTTTTTTATTCCGTTTGTTCGTGGGTTGCATTAACCCCGAGTCAGCATCGAGTTTTTAGGTCAATCCATTTTAGCTACGTTTTCCTTTACTCCGCACGAAACAAGTGCTTATATTCATGTTTTGTATAAGAAGGAAAACGCAACGCGGAAAGTACTGCTAAAATGGACAGAATTTGTAAAAAAAATTTAAATTTTATCTTCAAGAGCTATTTTTATAGAATACATGTATATATAAGAGGAGCAGAAAGGTTATACTATTACGTTTTATTAAAATAACTCAATAAGCATTCATATAACATAATTTCTTTTTATACAAATTTTTGTTAGCCACAGGCCTGTTTTTTCATTTTATGGATAATTTGTGGTTTAAATTTAATTTTACGTAACTTGGTAATAATGTAAAAATTATATTTTTCTAGTTATGATTAATCACTAAACTGATGGTTTTTTAATATGGTAAATCTAAACGTTATTCACTGTAAAACCATTAGCTTAGTAATTAATTATATATCTTCTTTTTATATTGATTAATTATAGTTAGAAAATATAATTTTTACATTATTAGATTAAGTCTAACCATAAGTTAACTTGGAAACGAAAAAGCAGGCCATAGAGTGATACCAATTATACTATAGGTGGAAGTTCTTCGAGTATATAGAACAAACGTAATTTACATAAACCGAAGAGGGATAAAAGACTGCACATACAATAAGAAGAAGGATATGAAATATATCACTAATTAGTATATTTACACGTCAAGTGCATTACCAAAAATATAAATAGAATTAAATTTTAAATGAATTTTAATAAAGATTCCAACGAATAAATTCAAATAAATTAAAGTAACAAGGCTAAGGAACCTATAAAATTACAAAAAGTCATATTAAATGCCTCCAAGCTGAACTTAAGAGCTGCAAAATTAATACCAACATATTTTTCAAAATATTACGTAAAAATGTACAATAAAAATTACTCACTTAATTAAAAGCTACATTCAAGGCCTTCAAGTTAAACTAGTGACAGAATTAATATCAACATACTTCTATAAAAATTACGTAAAATATACACATCTGTAAAACTGTCTATTTGCTATCTGTAAACCCTTCCTTTCCTATATTATAGACTCTAAGATCTGTACTTTGAAAGTTGTCCCATTTTAAATAGTAAAAGCAACGATTAAAGATTAGAGAAAATAGAAATATTATAACACGATGAATATCTTTTATACGATCTAAGCGAATTATCTGCATTTTTAACGCGAGAGAGATAGAGATAACAACTATTGAAACAAATGTATAGAACATAAATATCCCGGAACTATATTGCAAACGGAACTATTTCCGATAAGCAATAACGAGTACGATAGTCGGCGAGGTCGGATAATAAATATTTGAGTATTTATACAGTGTCCACTGCAACGGGCCGTCGATTGCAACGATTTCGCGGTAATCTAAACTGTAGCGTGGTGAGCGCGGTGTAGCGAGATGAATATTAACGAGACCCAGGTGGATCTAGATGAAAAATAGAGGTAGAAAGTGCGAGTCAAAGAGCGTGGCTCCGAAATAATGTCCACGTTCGCCGCATATAATACGCTGCTGTATACCGACACGCGTTTTGTATGATAATTCTGACGAAGTTCGATTAAAACCCGGTAATCCTTGCGCGGATCAGTCCCTCGGATAATCCCTCCTATTACAAATTACATAGCGGCACAATCACATTTTTCCATTCCCATGCGTAAAGAAATTCCATTAAAAAAAAGTGCTGCAATAATTCATCAAACAATTGTATAGATCTCGACAATCAGATATATATATTTTTTTATACTCTTCCTCCGTCACTCTCGATGTCGATCTGTCGAATTACCGGATGTACCGGCTGCCACGCCATTACCGGTATTATCAGCGCTAACAATCGGAAATGCTCGGCTTTACGAGCAAGCGGTTGTTGCACCCCGGCCTGGAAACGGCTCGTCGCGGCCAAATGAATTTCGTGGCAATATTGTTTC